TCCCAAGCGGAATATGAGTTGCTGTTCCTGCAACCTTCGGGTGGCATTGTTGTGGCACTGCAGGAGGCCCAGGATGGACATGTCGTCTGAGGAATGGGAGGGGGAGTTGAAATGGTTCGCGACTGGGAGGTGCAGTTGTTTGTTGCGAACCGAGCGTAGGTGTTCTGCAAAGCGGTCCCCGAGTCTCCGCTTGGTTTCCCCGATGTAGAGGAAGCCACACCGGGTACAGCGGATGCAGTATACCACATTGGCAGATGTGCAGGTGAACATCTGCTTGATGTGGAAAGTCTTCTTGGGGCCTGGGATGGGGGTGAGGGAGGAGGTATGGGGGCAGGTGTAGCACTTCCTGCGGTTGCAGGGAAAAGTGCCGGGTGTGGTGGAGCTGGAGGGGAGTGTGGAGCGGACAAGGGAGTCACGGAGAGAGTTGTCCCTCCGGAAAGCAGATAAGGGTGGGGAGGGAAAGATGTCTTTGGTGGTGGGGTCGGATTGCAGATGGCGGAAGTGTCGGAGGATGATGCGTTGGATTCGGAGGTTGGTGGGGTGGTACGTGAGGACGAGGGGGATTCTTTTTTGGTTCTTACTGCGTGGACGGGGTGTGAAGGATGAGGTGCGGGAGATGTGGGAGACACGGTTGAGAGCATTCTCGACCACCGAGAAGGGGAAGTTACGGTCCTTGAAAAACGAGGACAACTGAGATGTACGGGAGTGGAATGCCTCATCCTGGGAGCAGATGCGGCGGAGGCGAAGGAATTGGGAATAGGGGATAGCATTTTTGCAGGAAGGTGGGTGGGAGGAGGAGTATTCTAGGTAGCTGTGGGAGTCGGTGGGCTTGAAATGAATCTGTGCTGGCTCATTTAAAGCACAAGCCAGATCCACAGCCCTGAGATATGTTGGGTGGCAGGGTGCCTCAGTGGTTAGCGCTATTACCTCAGAGTGCCAAGAACCTGGGTTCAATTCCAGCCCAGGCAACTGACTGTGTGGGTTTCCTTCGGGTGCTCAGGTTTCCTTCTACAGTCCAAAGATGTGCAGGTTAGATGGATTGGCCGGGCTTAGTTGCCCACAGCGTCCATGGATGTGTATGCTAGGTGAGTTAGCCATGGGAAATGCAGGATTACGGGGATGGGGGATGGGGGGTTGGTGGTAGTACGGATTTGGATGGGCTGCTCTTAGGACGGTCAGTATGGACTTAATGGGCCAAATGGCCTGCTTCCACACTGTAGGGATTCTAAGAAATGGGGTGGTGTGATGGCAGAGCTGTTAGGGGTTTCACTTGAGCAATACCCTAAATGAAACAAATACATTCTTAGTGGTGTTCAGCCCCTTCAATTCTGGCAATTACATTACACTTCTCAACTTTAAAGAAGGCAATGGGTTAGTGCTTTTATTGCTACACTATTAATCCTGAGGCTCATGTAATTTTCTGGAGACCACGGGAGCTGTCAGAACATGAATTCAATAAAAATCTGAAGTTCAGAGTCTAATGATGACTATGAAACAAATGCCAATTGCTGGAAAAGCCCATATGGTTCACTATTATCTTTGAGAGAAGGAAACTGCTGTGCTTACCTGATCTGATCTACATGTGACTTCAGACCCACAGAATGTGGTTGACTCTTAACTGCCCTTTGGGCAATCAGACATGGGCAATAAATATTGCAATGGCCATCCTGCAAATGAAGAAAACAAAATCCAGACAGAACCATAGCTTTGGGAGTTCTGAGGAAGGGTCACTGGACCTGAAATATTAACTCCGATTTCTCTCCACAGATGCTGCTAGACCTGCTGAGCTTTTCCAGCAATTTCTGTATGTGTTGTTGTTGGTTGTGGCAGTGGCTTGGTTACACTTCAAAATGGGTTATAACTGGTTCTGTGCAATACTCTCCACTTGGACAGATAGAGTTAACTTGCTGAACCTGATGTTTCACTTGTAGCCATTCTCTTGAAAGTTGCTGAAACACAGCAACATGCATACTAATTAATTAATTAGAATCAGTGATCTTCACAGTCCCATTCTTTTAAAATGTATAAAGTGAACCATATTCACTCAGAATTTTCCCATTCGTAAATGCAGTACAAATATATATTTTGTGCTCTTGAGATGCTGTGTAATGCTGTAAGACAGGACTTTTAACACAGGGCAAGTGTGAGATTTATTAATGCAAAGATTGAAAAGGACAGCAAAACCATTAAAGCAAATGGAGCAGTCTTTATTCTTAAGAGCACCATTCATCAAAAATGTGGTGACATGTCTAGGACTGGTCTATTTAAAGCAGAATCTGGTAACAGGCTGAGTAATATATTTTGCCAGGATTTTTAACAGAGGAATGTGTCATTATCAGCTAATTTTGCACTATAAATGGGATGGTCTGAAAAGCAGAAATGTTTCTCGTACTGGTTTAACTAAACGATAAAGGAGTTATCAGCATGCACATTTGTAGGCAAACTTCACAACCTGTTTTAACTGAAATTTCAGTCCAGTGTGTACCTGGCACTCAAAATTACTACCCCCACCCCCCACACCACTATCAGTGTATCATGTACTGTTCCTTAAAAATGAACTATAACCAATGTGAGTCTACTTCGATTGATCACTTAAATTCACTCTCATTTAAAAAGACATATGGTGTTGATTTTAATCACTATTTTGATGGTTATTGGAATAGGCGAGGATTTACCATCTACCACATTTGTCCAATTCTCACTCACTGACCTGATATCATTGGCACTGGGTCAGTTGTGTGTGCTTGGGATTTGCACTTGGTCCAGTAAAATAAAGCTTAAATATTGACTCCCATATCAGGGGCTGGAACCCATCTGGCACTCACCTCTCCAATCCCATTTTTACACCTTACTCGCCGCTTCAAAATCGGGGCTTATAGTTTTGTTTAATTACCTGTTACAAGTTTCATTTTAGTTATTAATTTGAAAAGATCACCATGAATGATGATTTCTTCACAAGAAAACCATAGACTTGCATTTCCACAGCAGCTTTTCCAAGCTCGGGATATCCCACAGCTCTTATCAGCTGTCCTTTTGGGGTGCAGTCGCTGTTGCAAGTTAGAGGCCAGATCTGGATGAAGAGCTGAGACCTGCAACAGGGAGCTGCTCCTCCAGCTGGTCCCAGTGTCATCAGTATGGCATCAGACTCTGCACCTAAAGTGGGCCTTATGAGAGGGTATGTGATTTGGGTCTCTAACAACCAGGTAGAACTCCGATGCGGTCTTCCTTTTCAAAGTGGGAGGGTGAAAGGTGCTGCAACAAAATCAGAAATTGCTGAAAAAGCTCAGCAAGTCTGGCAGCAGCTGTGGAGAGAAAACAGATGCACGCCAGTCCTGCTGAGTATTTTTTTTTTTAAAAAAGCAGCAATTCCTGATTTTGTTTCTGACGTCCAGCATCTGCGGTTCTGGCAGCAGCTGTGGAGAGAAAACAGATGCAAGCCAGTCCAGCTGAGTTTTGTTTTAAAACCAGCAATTTCTGGTTTTGTTTCTGATGTTCAGCATCTGCGGTCCTTTGGTTTTTGATGCTGGCTATTGGGCACGAATACCAGAAAGGGGACGGCTGCTGGCTTTCACTTCCCAGAGTTGATTTGTCACTTTCAGAGACTGTTTTGCTGGATTAGGGGTGGTGCTATAAGTTGGAAAGGCGGGGTGGTGGGAAGCGGAGTGCAAGTTCAGACAGATGCAGCGGGAGTTGGGATGTGTCTGAAAAGGAGGGAAAGCATTCTCTCTGCAAAGTAAGCCCAGCCCTGTTTCCCTGTGCTCCAGGGAATCTAGAAGCCCGGTTTGCAAACCTTCTCCGGGGAAGCGCGAGCGCCGCGCAGGCTCGAGGCCGGTGGGCGCGCCTCGGGGCCGCGCGCGGCGCCGGTCCATTGTGTGCTTGGTGGCGCCGGGAGCGCGCCGCGGGCTCGCGCAGAGCGGTCGCCGATTGTGTCGATGAGGCGGGAGGGAGCGCCGACTGTCTTAGGGCGATACAGTGTGACTGCTTCTCAGTGTTACATTGTATCCAGCTTCAGGGAATTGCAACAGACCGCCAACCAACTCCAGCCCGAAAAATGGATCAGGAGCTCCAGGTTGGAGTTTCAGTTTTTTTTTATCCCCCCCCCACCCCTCTTCTGCTATGTGCTTTATGTCTGAGGAAACCGTGAAGGAAGAGGGAGACAGAGGGATTGAGGAAACAGAGGGAGAGCGGAAAAGGAGTTCAAAGTGAGAAGTTGGGTGGGGTGTTGTGGGGAGGGAGAGCGAGTGGAAGGGAGGCATGGAAGGTGAAAAGCGAGAGTGCACAGGGGAGAGGAGCAGGGTGGAGAGTAGGGGTTTGAATGGAGGAGATGGGATTGGGGTGGGGGCAGAGGTGCAGTGGAGAGTGGGAGCAAGGGTGAAGGGGGAGCGGGGCAATGGGAGGTGCAGACAGGTGCATTAACGACAGGGGTCAATGAGATGGAAAGAGTAGTTTGGGGAGAGGAGCATTGGGGGGGTGGAGAGGGGAGTGAGTAGTGTGGGGAGAGGTACAGTTAGCAGGGGTTCTGATAGTCATAACGGGAGCTGGGGAGGATGAGAGGGAGTGCAGTTGGAGAGGGATTGAGAAGGTGAGGATCAGTGTAAGTGGGGAAAGTTTTGGAAAGGGGGAGAGTGAGAGGTCCATTCCCTCAGGAGTTGACCGCTGATTGTGTTGTCCTCAGATGGAGAGTCTGAATTTGCCATTGTTCCCACTTTGTTGAGAGCTGAGCTTATGTTGCCTCTATTGTAGTGGTGCAAGCTAAGGTGGGCAGCACAGAGCTGTGGCTGGTTTCTGGGCCTCATTTAAACTTTCTGTAAGTGAATGGACTTCTGACTGAACTATAATTCCACTGTTCTCCAGGCTTTATTCTTGGATGTTGAAAATAGGGTACAGTATCCTTCATTGCTACCATTCAAACATGTTCCTGAGCCCTGTTTCCCTTCCGCACACCATAGTAAAAAAAATGTGCCCTTCTGTTTTATTTTTAGTAAAGCTAATAATTCATTAATTGTAGTAAATTTTTAACCAATATTAATTTGGGTTATAAATGTGTTACCAGTGGTGCATTCAGTTTGTCAGGTATTGCTGTTCCAATTGTGCTAAATTGTACAGAGATAGAGTTTTTGTGACTCAAGTTTTTTTTTCAAAATTCAAAATGAATTTATTTTTATCATCCAATAGGATTGGATTTAAACATACTTTTCAGTTTGTTTCAATAAATCTCTCATGGTTAACAGATGCAGTTGGAATGTGTTGGCCACCCATATGGAAACAGATCTGTTCATGGTGCTGTCTGTGTTCCTTCATAGTGTGTAGCTGATAGTAACGGGGTTTGATAACAGGGTACACTATGCTAAAAAGAGAAAGCTACCTGGTGTCTTAATTTTCTAACCTGTAAACTTAATTCAGCCTGTATGAGTCTGAATGCATAGACCAGCATTGCAGTGCACTTTAAATCAGTTCTGATTCTTTGATTTGACCCTTTGCGATCACAAACTTGGGTAGATTGGTGTGGGGTATTGAGGAGAAAGAAAATATTAACCACTTGATGCCATAATGTTAGTGAGGCTGGACTTGCTCGATGCTGCAGTTTGTCACTTTGCTGTAGCCTTACGTTCTATGCTGGTGATCAGAAGGAGAAAGTAGCAGTTCCCAGAACTTCTAAGGAGCTCTGTGGGCTGTGGCTGTGAAATCTGCATCCCGCTGAATGGCTGGCCACTACAAGAATTCAGGATCTGCCCCATATGGGACTGTGTCCAAGGAAAGCAGGGGAATAGAATAGTAATTTTAAGAACAAAAACAAAGTTGCTGGAAAAGCTCAGCAGGTCTGGCAGCATCTGTGAGGGAGAAAACAGAGTTGATGTTTCGGGTCCGGTGACCCTTCCTCAGAACTGTAATTTCTCAGTAATTTTCCTCCGTAAACTTCCTCAGTAATCTTAACATTGCATGCACCAAAAGTCTTAGTGATATGAAAGCAAAACATGCAGTTGTTGGAAATCTGAGATAAAAACAGAATGTGTTGGAAATACTGAGCAGATCAGACCACAGTAGTGGAGTATTTCAGGTCAACGGTGGGCCCTTATTTTGTCTGAGTGATATAATCAAGGTGCTACTTTTCAATACTGTGACATCGGAATCGCAGTGTGATGTGCGTATGTATATAAAACTGCCTACCCTGAGCATTAATTGCCACCTTTTCTGTTGTTAAAATGTTAATTGGAGCTACAGTGGGTCACCATGGTTTGGTTTCAAAAGCACAGTGAGGTATCATCCTGTAAATGTCATGTTCTAAATATTCACCAGTGCTAGACCAGCCTTTCTAATGGCACCATTCATATTCAAGTGATTGTGAATTTTCCAGCCTGTTTTGATTTGGATTCTGTTTAGTTTGTAGAATTTAAAAAAAAGGAGGAGGAGGGCAGCTTTTTACACAGTAAAAGATGGTAATTAATAGATGAGGCAGAGATTGGCAGACTTCAGTTTCACCACAATAATCTTTTCCTGCCATTACAGCCCCTCTATCAGGGCATCTCTTGCTTTTTGCTATGGGTTTTAAAGCAGCAGCTTTCAGGCTGCAGACGATGTACATTGCACAGGGGTCACTACCAGCAGGTATGTCGATGTGCTTTTGCTTGTTCTCAACAAAGCTGTCGTAGCATGATTGTAGCCAAGAAAACACACCAGTAATGCCAGAAGAACAGAAGGGTAAAAGCTCATAAATAAGGTCACAGGGAATTGTAATCCTGCTGACCCACTCACCCCCTCCATACCATACCATTTAATTTTAGTCTTGTGGCCTCTAAAATTGTAAACATGCAGAGAAGAGTACAAGCAGGGAAACTTGGTTTGCATTTGCCCTTCATTTTCTGTATTTGTGTTCATGCGATGGGTTTTGCATTGGCGTACTCCCAAAGACCCCTTGACATAATTTCTGAAAGCAAAGTGGTACAGTCCTTTCAGAAGCAGGAACTAGGAACAGAAGGAGGCCATTCAGCCTCTGCAGCCTGTTTTGCTGACATTTAATGAGATTGTGACTGATATGTGACCTAACTCCATGTGTATTTTGTCGCACATATCTCAGTACTTTGGGTTAACAAAAATCAGCCTGTCTCAGATTTAAAAGTAATAATACAGGGAGGCAATGATCCAGTGGTATTGTCATTGGATTGTTAATCCAGTGAGCAAGATAATATCCTGATTTCAAAACTTGTCATGGCAGACGGTGGAATTTGAATTCAATAAAAATCTGGAATTAAGAGTTTAATGATGATCATTGAAACCATTATTGATTGTCGAAAAAAAACCTGTCTCGTTCACTAATATCCTTTAGAGAAGGAAACTGCCATCCTTGCCTGGTCTGGCCTTCATGTGACTCCAGACCCACAGCAATATGGTTGACTCTTAATTGCCCTCTGGGCAATTAGGGATAGGCAATAAATGTTGGCCTAACCAGTGACAACCACATTCCATGAAAGAATTTTAAAAAATTGTCAAGCATCATTTGTCATTTGGAAAGAGATTTTGAAACTTACTACCAGCCATAGCATGTAGAAGTGATTCTCCATTCCTTCCTGAATGGTCTAGCTCCAGTACTTAAACTATGCTTTTAGCCCAAGACCAGTACTTCCCAAGGGGCAGGTGCTATAACATGAAATTTTGAGTGTTTACAGTAGCTATTGCTGCCTCAGAGTTGAGCTGTGATCAAACTTAAAGTGGTGTGCTCCCCCTCTAACTGGCCTGTGCTCTCTCATCTGCGCCCCACCCTCCATGCCACTTTTATTGAGGGCTCATGATGATTTTCATGTCTCAAGTGATGTTGCAGTGCAAATAAAGTCTGGCAAACTCAGTCCTAAAGTTACCTCGCCTGTAGAAATATTTTCCCTCCATCTGTCCTCAGTTTGCTTTAATGTCATTGAAAACTTCAATCAAATCATCCCATCACCTTCAAAATCTCAGAGTCTACTACCCTGATTTGTGCGCTGTATTCTCTCTTCGTAATTTAACCTTGGAGTCCAGGTATTATTCTGATAAATGTACACTGTCCTACCTCCACACCCTGAGGTGCACAGAAATAAACACAAGACTTACTCTGAGTGTGCTTTGTATTGTTGAAGCATGACTTCCAACCCTAGGAATAGTAAGAACCCTAGGAATAGTAAGGGCTGGAGTCAGAGATAACACAGTATGAAGCTGGAGGAGCACAGCAGGCCAGGCAGCATCTGACGAGCAGGAAAGTTGACATTTTAGGTCAGGACCCTTCTTCAGAAATGTCAACTTTCCTGCCCCTCTGATGCTGCCTGGCCTGCTGTGTTCCTCCAGCTCCACACTGTGTTATCTCCTTCCAACTCTATTCTTGTTTTAAAAGCCAGCACTCTGACCTTCATTCTTTTGTTTTTCTCTGCCTATCAATGGCCTTGTGATCGTCCATGTGCCTGGACACACTCCTTGCTGTGTTCCATCCACAAGTCTCCTAAATCCTTCAGTTCCTTGCTTTTGAAGTATTTAGGAGGTACTCTTTTCTATAATTTTTAAGCCCAAAGTGAATGATTTCTTGTATGTGTGTTTTCTGAGTCTAGATTACACTGGATGTGCACATGGTGGCCACGAGGTGATAGAATCTGATTTTTCTATAACTTCCTTGCACAGTTGCCTGTTGATGTACTGTGGCCCTGATATGAAGATGGATCATTTAGTCTAAAGAGAGGTGCAGAATGGTTGCTATCATGGCTGATCCCTTACATGTGTGGTAATTAGTGTGTTGTTTTGTTGAAGGCTAGCACTGCAGCAATATTGCAATTTCTTTTCCAAATACAACTTCCTCCTTTTTTTGTTGTGTCTAGTTTCGAAGGCATAACCAACTCCTATTGACAGGAAATGTTCAGTGCAAAATTTCTTAATAGCTCAGTCCCATTAGATTCATTTTTCACATTCTTCTTTGATTTCCACCTCAAAGACATTGTTGATGTGGTGGTTGGCTTTTCTGGGTCCCTCAGCTCACTGCCCATGCCTCACTTGACTATTAAAGTCACAAGAGAAGTGTGGGGAGACAGGAGAGGTACAGCCAAAACCTAATTA